AATTTCATCATTTTTGTTTAAGAATTTTTCCGAAAAGCTTTCACATAAAATATTAATTAATTAGGTTATTAACTTAAAGTGTTTGTAAAATATCTTCGTTATATTTTATTATACTATAAATTATAGTATATTAAAATATAACAGCGAAGATATTTTACAAACTTATAATATTATAGTATAATATTATAAGTCTAAAAACGCTAATGACAAGAATTCGCTTTGTTAACAAAACTCTTATATACTACAAAGTATAGTTTCAACGAATCGAATATTATATGTATGTACGTGTATCTATCTATCTATCTATATATATATATATATATATATATATATATATATATATATATATATATATATATATATATATATATATATATATATATATATATATATATATATATATATATATATATATATATATATATATATATTTTTTTTTTTTTTTTTTTTTTTTCACAACACAAGTATCCGTATATATTTCAATAAAACAAAATTACATATTTTTACATATAAGTACAAAACGTACAATTAAACAATTTTTGTACCATTAAAATTTTTACAAGACAAAAGAAATTCAAAATTCTGTTCAGCGCATACGCGTTGTACAGTGTACAAAGTAAGGTAACTATTCGTTGTTTATAATATAAAGTGCTGGCTATTAACCCATTCATTTAAAAAGTATATGCAAGTCCGTCGTACCACAGGGCTACTAGGGACTTGCTTGTGGACGTTGTTGAATATATATATATATAAAATTATTCTTAAAAAATATTTTTCTTTGTTGTAAGGAAACTCGCAGAAGACTAAAATAGTCTTTTCATCGAGAACCTTTAAAACATAAAATAAACTTTAATGAACTAGTTCAACAAATACACATAAGTATTTTGGTATCTAGTATAGAGTAGAAGTAGTAGGGCTTTTTATTATTACTATTTTTCCCAAATTGTTTAATACATTTCGATGAAGTTGGTTAAGTTAATTATGATATGTTTTAGTTTTTTTTTAGAGCAATAAGGTTATCCTTTTTATTAAGTTCCATATTTTGAAGTATTATTTTGTTATGTAAGTATGGGCCACGGTATATTAAAGAAAAAAGTGAGAATTTTGTTTTTTTTAAAGGTAAGGTGAAGTTGCCTGTTCCTCGTGTGATATATTTGTTTGCGTTGATATGAAAAAAGCTATCAGTAAAATATTTCGGAACAAATCCGAGTTTGTATTTTAGCATGAATAAGATATTTTGGTAAATATTTATTTGATAGATATTTAATGCATTCAAATTTTTAAGTAAGGGGTCGGCACAAGTGAATTTATCTTTATTATAAATTAATCTTGATGCATGTTTCTGATGTATGTAGAGTGAATTTAATTTAGTTTTATGGGTACTTCCCCATGCATTATTAGCGTATGTTAGGTAACTTTGAATATAAGAAAAGAAGAGAGTTTTTAAGTTGTCTTGGGAAAGCATAGGTTTGGCTTTGTAGAGTACGCCGATACTTTTTGATATTTTTGTGTTTATTGTATTAATATGGGCTTTCCAATTGATATTCTGGTCAATAATTATTCCAAGAAACTTAGTTATTTCAGTTCTTTTGATGTTTATGTTATCAATTTTTAGTGAAGGTAGAGTGCCTGGTATAAAGTTTTTAACACGGTTGGAGTGAAACAAGATATATTTTGTTTTTTCTTTATTCAAAGATAATTTATTTACTTTAAACCAGATGTTGAGGTTTTCGAGGTCAGTATTTATAGATTCGTAAAGGTCGCTTATAGACGGCGATGAGTAAAATAAATTTGTATCATCAGCGAACATTATTACATCAAGTTTTTTTAGGGCTTTTGGAAGATCGTTGATATATATTAGAAATAAAAGGGGACCCAGAATAGAACCTTGGGGACCTCCGCATTTTATTTCTAGTAGGTCTGAATATTTATTATGATCTGTAACAACGCATTGTTTTCTGCTACTTAGGTAACTTTTGAACCAGTCAAGGGATATATTTTTAACACCATATCTTTCCATTTTTTTAAGTAAGATATTGTGATTAACTGTGTCGAACGCTTTAGATAAATCTATAAAAGTGCCTAATACAAATTGCTTTTTATCGAAAGAATTATTCATGCTATTTACAAGATCTAAAATGGCATGTTCGGTTGAGTGTTTTGTTTGAAATCTGAATTGTTTTTTGTTTAAGAGGTTATTTTGAAGGAGATATACGTATAATCTATTGTAAACTATTCTTTCAAGTATTTTAGAGAAAGTAGGCAGTATAGAGATCGGTCTGTAATTATTTAATGAAGATGTTTCGCCTCTTTTAAAAATTGGTATAATTTTAGCTGTTTTCAATTTATCTGGTACAGTACCTGTTTTAATTGATGAATTAATTATTTCGAAGATCGGTTTGCGTATCTCCAAAAAGACATCGATAACGATATTGCTACAAATATCATCTATACCTGGAGATTTATTTATTTTAAGAGATTTTATCGCAACTTCAAGTTCTTCAATTTTTAGTTCGCTAAATGCTAATTCGTTGTTGTTATTAGTTAAGTATGTCTCAGATGAGTTGTTTGGACAATTAATTTTTGTAGCCAGGTTAGGGCCTATGTTAACGAAAAAATTGTTAAACTTTTCTGAGATTACGTCACTACTGACATACTCTTCATTATTTATATCAACTTTAGTAGGTAAATTATTTGGTTTGCAATTTTTGTTCCCAATTATTTCTTTAATTACGTCCCACGTTTTTTTAATATCACCTTTGGAGTTTTTTATTTTATTTGAGTAATAATTCTTTTTTGAAATTTTTTTTTGATTTTTTCAAACAAATTTTTATATTGTTTGTAAGCATTTAGGTTTGCTTCATTTCTATTTTTTAAGTATTTGATATAAAATTTTTTTTTTTTTTTGGAAGATTTTTTAATTCCTTTGGTGATCCACGGACATTTTAGATGTTTTTCTTTTACTAGCATTACTTTTATTGGGATATATATATATATATATATATATATATATATATATATATATATATATATATATATATATATATATATATATATATATATATATATATATATATATATATATATATAAAAGAAATTTTGGAGAAATTTTTCTTAATTCTTTCAACCTTTGATAATTTTTGTGCCTGTAATTGTACTTTTTGCTTAACAAAGTTATAAGGATAAACAAAAATAAGGATAATCAAGTTTCTCAGTTCTGATTAAAATAAATTTTTACTGTATTGAGACTTTTTAAAATAGGTATTTTTGGTATATATTTATACCTAAAATAGTTTTAAAGTTCCTCAAATCAAATATGATCATTTAAACTGGAAAAATCAAATCCAATTAGTGGAAAACAGCAATTCAAAAGCACTTGGAATCCTTTTCAAAACGAAGCACCTTTTGAATATAATGTGTTTAAAAAGCTTGTATTTTTCATTTATTCATAATCACATTAGTTATTGCAATATAGTGTGGGCAAGTAATTGTTCATCTTCTTTAAAAAAAATTAATACCAAACAAAAGCAAGCGAGCCGGTTAATTTTGAATGCAGGTAGATATGCATGCGCCGAGCCTTTAATTAAAAAAATTAATGTTTTAAATATTTATAAACTAAACATCTATCAAAATCTGTTATTTATGTTTAAAATTCATAACAACATGCTTCCAACATATTTTCAACCGCATTTTACCTTAATTAATGATAAATACTCTACACGACATTCCATTGGCAACTTTCTCATCCCTACAACATCCCTTAGAAAAACAGACTTCTCAATTACATGTCGAGGACCACGTTTGTGGAACTATTTCCTTAATAGAGACATGAAAAACATGACTTTAATTGAACTATTTAAAAGAGCAGTTAAACGATACTTATTAGATTTAAATAGTAAAAACATTCTTTTATATTTTTAAAAACATTTATATATCGGTTTGTTAACACCTATATATGCATCTTATAACTTATATATTTTATGAGCTGTAATATGTTATAGTATGTACAAAACTTGTAATATGTATAAAACTTATATAACGTATGTTTTAGGAAATTAATACGTAAATCTTATTTGATATTTTCACGAACTTAGGAGCAGGGTGATAAGACGCATTGTCTTCTACTTGTTCCTGTCAGAATATAAAGATTTAATTTTTAATTTTTACAAAAAATATTGTAAAATGATTGTTTATTGACGAAATATATATATATATATATATATATATATATATATATATATATATATATATATATATATATATATATATATATATATATATATATAAATATATATAAAACTTAAATAGTTCCTTATTTTGGGAAAGCAAGATTTTCCCAACAAACAAAACAGAATTTTAGACTTTTTTAACATGGTGTTCCTGATAATGAAATTTGGCATAATGGTAATCAATGGTAACCCGTTCAAAACTCACCGTTACTTAAGATTAGTTTGAATTGTTTTTGGCGCATTTTTTGCAAAATCAATCAATTTTAAAAAATTCAAAAAAATAAATTAAAATTTTACTGCAATACTAATTGTATAATTAGGTAAATTAAATTTTTATTAATAGACTAAATTAAATATAAATCAAGCGACTAGAATATGTATAAGTGTTTGTAGAAGAAAACTTTTGTTTAAGACACAATATGCAGGATTCAAGTTGACCTTTTTTTTGTAAAAAAAATTTTAAATATATAACTAATTAAAAAAAAAAAAATCATCTTGAGGATCGTCAATAAATTACGCAATGCAAAACATATTTTAAAAACAGAAGTAGGAGATATTAATCTCTTTTACGCGTCGATTTTCCTTAAACCTAATGTTCTATTTTGAAATTAAAACACTGCAAGGGAAAACTTTTGATCTTGTTTATTGTGAAAGTTTGCGTTACGTAATATATGGACGATCCTTTAAGTGCTGCGTTTTGTGTCTTCGTAGAAAACAACATTATTACAAAAAGTTTACTCATACGCAAAATTTACAGCAATACAAGATAACTGACTTTACAAATTGGTATTTTTGAGAGTTAAAAAATTTGAACAGTGTGATAAAATTTCGCTTTACAGTTAGTACTAAAAATCAAATTATAAAAAAATACAAAATGAATTGAAAACATAAAAAATTGCTCGATAAGAAAAGATTTAGCTGATTCTTTTTTCACCTTGTAGTTAAAATGCACTCATAGCTGCCTCCTAACTAGATGCACCCTTGTCTCTCTTTTTTTAATTGTAGTATTCTAAAGATTTTGTTGAACATTGTATTTACAATTTAATCCATTTCATAAACTTTGAAGTTGCTTGATTGCAACCACTAACATGGAAAACCTCCTTTAAAGATTTTTTATGTGGATTGATACCTTTTCGCATTTTGTTACATAAACTGCAAGCGTATTGAGAGCAACTTTTTGGAGATAAATCCCAATCTAACTTCCATTCAAAGTAGCTGTTAAACTTTTTTTCGTCAAACTCTAGCAATTTAATATAATCTGCTAGTGCTTTGCTTGAATTAAAGTCAAACACGTTGATATACGATCCCGGAATGGCCAAGTTTTCGTTGTTATAATTTGCTCCGCCGAAAACAATAGGTATTGTGTTTGAATCAATCGCTGTGAACCAGTATTTTTCAGTAATATAATCAGTACACAGGCTGTTTTCAGCCGCAAAGTAAAACTTAAATTTTTTTAGCTCTTTTTCACAACTTTTCCCGCTACAGCTCAAACTTTGATTGAAAAAATCTTGAGTACATTTACCATAAATTTCTAACTTAATACCATGTTGCAGAAGTGATTGAGCTAACAAATTTCTCTGGTATGCTTGGCAGTTGCTCACGAACCATGCAACGCTTTTGGTTTTGCTTTTAAAGTAGTTTGTTCTAGGAAACATTTGGGATTGTTTTCTATCTATTCTTTTTATATGCATTATTTTCTTTTTAGGAAAGTGATATCTGTACGGTATTCTAACGTCAGAGTCTAAATGATATGATGAGATAAAATCAAAAATGCTATCGAATTTGTCAGCAACAAGCGTGTTCAAATTACTTTCCATACTAAAAAACCCCCATAGTTGGAAAGATGGTTTTCTTAAAGCTAACTGTAACAAATCACCATAAAAAGGCAGATCGCGTCCATTAAATAAAACCGCATCACTTTTGTTAAAAAGATTAATATCGTAACTAAATTGACAGTTATTTAAGTAGCATCCACAGTTTTTAGCAAGATCGTCACTTCCTACATAACTCCATGGTTTTTCCCCAAAAAATGGTGTATAAAAAAGTACTAAAATAGTTTCTTTATGTTGATTGCTGTAACTATAATTCCATTTTAGTAAATAGAATGTTAAAACAAACAAAACGTAACTAGTCAAAATAAATTTCTTTCTTTGTCCATCGGTCTTTGGCATTATTTTTGAACTTTTGAACCACATTTTATAATGCAAGAAAAATTACAGTAAGTTAATTTTCACAAATTTTCATGTTATTTAAACATACAATTTAGATAAAACAATTTAAACAAATGGTCTCCAATAAAATCAGTAAAAAAGTTTAATGTAATTTATAGCAATATGTTTTTAATAAAACGGATGCGTTTTAATGCAACGGATGTTTTTGCAGTACTCATAAACGTTTTATCAAAAAAAAAAAAAAAAATCAACAAATAATTATTGGTCATTAAATAAAGTAAATTGGAGCAAAAGTAAACTGTTTATCTTCAAAAATAATTAAAAAATGAATATATATGAATATATATATATATATATATATATATATATATATATATATATATATATATATATATATATATATATATATATATATATATTATATATATATATATATATATATATATATATATATATATATATATATATATATATATATATATATATATATATATATATATATATATGTATGTATACTGCAGTATATATATTTATATATTATATATATATATATATATATATATATATATATATATATATATATATATATATATATATATATATATATTATATATATATATATATATATATATATATATATATATTTGCATATATGTATGCAAAAAAAAAAAAAAAATCGTACACTTAAAAAATAATCATAATTTTAAAGATTGCATCAAAAAAACGTGTTTTCCGTTAAAATTTAAATTTTTTTTTAAGAAATCTTGTTTTAAGAGCTTATTTGTGTATTAGTGAATTAATTGCTTTTAATTATTATTTAATTTTTATCTATTGAATTCAAACCTTTCTTTCAATTTTACACAATTGATCTAATAATGCATATAATTGATCGCAAAAAAAAAAAAATCATACAGTTCAAAAATAAATTCAAATTTCCATGGAAATTAGTATCGAGAGGGGTCTTTACCCTTTATGACCTCAACTAGACGATTAGGCATTGAATTGTCCAAATTTTGGTTCTCTTCTGTTTTTATATTATCCCATGCGCTCAATATAGTTTCTCTCAAGTCGTCTTTGGGTTTAAATGCTTGGTTGCCTTTTTCTGTTCAAAATATACCACAAATTTTCTATTGGATTCAAGTCCGGACTCTGAGATGGCCATTCTAAAATATTAATTTTATTTGTGTCAAACTATACTTTCGTTTTCAAAATACAACCTCGTCCCATTGGTTGAAGTCCAGAAAGTGTAGCGAAAATAAGGAGAAGCTTATAAGTTGAACTATTTGCAAGAAATTCTTAAGCATGGAGTAGGAAATGTGATGATTTGGGTTAGTATGAGTTTGAAAGGAGTGGGGGAATTTACATTTATTGATGGCAAAATAAATTCTTTAATGTATTGTGAAATTCTCAAAGCTAACTTGCAACCATCTTCTTAAAAATTGAGAATAGGAAACGATATTTTAAACAAGTATATAGAAAGTAACTATTTTTAATCAATTAAATTTAATTTGCTTCATGGTTAAAAGCAGGTCCGCGGCATTTTTTTATAGAAAATAACCACTCCACGTATTTCTACCCACGACTTGCAACTACAAGCTTGACATAGTTATTACATCTTGTTTTTAGATAACAATTCTTTTTACCAAATTCTGCAAAACATTTTGCACCTCCTAACGTCTTATTTCAGTTTCATACAGTATATCTTGAGTTTTATCTGATGCTTAACTGAAGTCAACCTTGTGTTACTTAAATTGTTTGAACTTTTTTCATCTTGTTTTTGTTTTTCAAGCACCTTAGATGTACTTACTGACTTTCTGTAAGGTGTTACGACAATTAGTACGTTTGGGCAGAAGTCACTAATGATGTATTTAAATTTTAAAATGGGCATTAATCAAAGTTGCTGTCCCAGGCGGCATGAATGTCCTCGGCAACCCTGTATGTATGTACATTTTTCCAGCGGCAAACGTATTGAAAAATGAAAATTTTAAAATGCATTATGTAACCTCTGAAAGCTGAAATCGAAGTGGATTACCCTCTTAAAAGTTGGCTGGATAAGTTTTAAACAACTGTTCGAGCTGGATAAGTTTTAAACAACTGTTCGAGCTGGATAAGTTTTAAACAACTGTTCGAGCTGGATAAGTTTTAAACAACTGTTCGAGCTGGATAAGTTTTTTGTTCGAGCTATCAAGAAGTAAGCATAATAAAAATCAAGATCTACGTAAAAGCTTTTTAAAATGTTTTTCGAATATTTCATTAAAAAATATTATTGTCGCCCAACTCAGCTTTGACAAAATCTAAAAATTTAAAAAACGTTCGTCATCTCGCCTGTCTTCCTCAGTAAAACACAAAATATAATATAAATAAAACTCGAGTTTTATTTATATATTCAATTATTTTATTTATTCTAAGGATCTTTGAACTTTGGAAACTTTATACTTCAAGTGACTTTAAATTTCTAATTTATTGTTTACAACAATTGCGGGGCTCAATTGAAACTTCTTTCTTATGTATTAAAAGACTTTCTTATGTATTAATTTTTTTTTTTTTTTTTTTCAAAATTTTTCTTTGAGCTCTTTCAAAATTTTGACTTTTAAAATTTTTCTTTGAGCTCAAAAAAATGTTTTATATCTAGAATATTACCATATATGTAGTGTGGGGAAAGTTTTGATTATAGCACATACCTACAAGACTAAATATAAACAACCTACAAAGAATATTTTTTCAATTTAGTTTGCATATTATTCCAAGAGTATTTATTTTTATTTATATATATGCTTTTAATAAATTTTAAATTTCATGCAATAATCACTTTGCAGTCGGTTTTTATGACCCTGCATAGTTTATGGCCCCCTCAAACTGAGAAGGGTAAAAACTTTTTATGGTCATAATCTTTGAAATTCAAGAGATCATTGCATGAAATTTGAAATTTGTTGTTAAATATATACTCAAATAAAAAAGGAAAGGAAATAATTTATAAAGTTGTTGCTCCCACCTTAAGGGCTAGGGGGCTAAAATTTAAGGGGTTTTTTGTTCCCAGGCTCCGATCATCACAATTTTTTGCGAAACATTGTTATTTGATATTAGTATAAACATATAAATATTTGGAGTTTGCTCCATGTCTTGTAGTTAGCTGACTTGCTAAATTCTCCAAGTTGCTCCACGTCTTGAAGTTAGTCATATTTTGGTATACATGTTTGACAAAAAAAAACCCAATCTATTTCTTTGTCAAACATGTATACCATGACAAAGACAAGGGTTCGGGTGGTTAAGATAACAAAGGCTCAGATTGTGATGCCGGTGTCTCAAATGCATTAGCACTTTTTTTAAATTTTACTGATTGTTTTTATTAATGTCAAACAAAAGCAAGCCGGTGTTTTGAAATCTAGCGGCTGAAAAGTGATTAAAATCCATTATTTGAGTGCGTTTAAAAATTTTACCAGAGCTCAAAAGTTTAACTTGCAGTTGAATAAAACATTATTCTGACAAATTATTAAACTTTATTTAGCCATTAATCAATGAGTAGAAAAATTAGATTAATTTTGATTTTACTTAAATTGTATCTGACCATAAATAGAATTTCAATACTTTTGGATAATTTAATGAAATATATTTATATGAGGTTTCTGTAAAAATTTTCATCAAGGTAAATGTCCAAGAGTTTTATGACCAATTCCTTTTTTATTTTTATTTTATTGATGATAAATTTAGGTAAGCTGTTCGGTAAATAGCGCCTTTTTTTATAGGGTAAAACTAAGATAATTTGTAAGATTTATTTTGTTTTGTTGATACTTAATGTTATATTACCGCGCTTAAATTATTTAGAGATGAGTTTAAGTTCTTTATTCATATTTGAAAAATGGTTAGAAATATCACTGTTAGACAGAAACAAATTAGTATCGCCAGCAAACAAGAGTACTCACAAAATTGAAAGTTTCATTTAAATCCTTTATAAAGACCAAAAGCAAAAGCCCTGTGGGACGCCACATTTAATTTTTTAACTTTAAACAGTTAAACTTTTTTATTTTAAACCATCTCAACAAAAATCACTTGTATCATCTTAGTCAAATAGGTTTTTATATAGAAATTTATTTAAATTAAGATTACCAAAAAAAGTAGAAACGTAATAAAATAGTAAATTTATATTAAATTTATATGTAATATAATTTATTATAATTTAATATAAATAATATATTTATAGTAAATTCCTTTTAAAACTTTTGAGAAGGTTGAAAGGACAAAGATAGCTTGATAATTACTTACATTTGGTTTTAAGCCATTTTTGTAAATTGGGGAAACTTTAGGAATTTTTCTTTAGGAATTTGTAAACTTTCGGAATTTTTCAGAAAATAATCTTTGTAGTATAGATGCCCTGAAGACTTTATAAAGAATATGTTTTAAGTATATATGATTATGTTACTGTTTATTCGACCTGTAGCTTATTTTCTTTTAAGAGATTTGTAAGCTCTTTCGAACTCATCAAAACCAATTAGAAAATAAATTATTGTTATAAAGCGAGATATTAGTAGGTTCTACAAAATTATTCAAAGTATAGTGATATAAATCTTATTTACCAGTTTAATTCCAAATTCGTAAAAAACTTATTTAATTTGTAATTTTTCTTGATTCATGTATGTTTGAACCGTTTAGTTTAAATACTTTTGGATGGGATCCCATCCCAAAAATATAAAAATTATTAACAAACATCTATTTGAAAATAATCGTATAAGATTAAAAAAAAAACTGTTATTCTAATTTCGTTATCAAATTAGAATAATAGTAAGACACAAAAAATAAAGAAATGACAAATAATTTCAGGGCCTTCGAGAGGGAGGGGCAAAGGGGACAAATTGACCCGGACGCCAAGCTTTAAGGGGCGCCGGGCAATCCGTTTGTTATTTATTTATTTTTATCATTATTTTTTTTTTTACAATAAATATAAAATATTTCAATGACTGACAATTTGAAATCTACTTAGTTTTTGTACTTGAGATTAAAGCTTTAGTATTCGAAATAAAAATGCTCATGAAAAAAATAATTTAAAATTTCAAATCTATTATTATAATTAATTATAAACTATTTTTTACGAAAAAAATACAATTTATTGAAGTAGAATTAGA